ATTTATAATAAAATCATCAGGCAGGTATTCTATATCATCCATTTAAAGATATTTTCTAGTTGAATGGGCCTCATTGCAGATGCAGTATATAAACATATTGACTACGTCTGGACTAAAAAATCTTTGTGACCATCAAGAAAAGGATAATGAACTGAGTAGAAAGAGCTAAGCAAGGTTTTTGAATTTGGGCTAAGAATCAAATTTCAATTTTAAAATTTCAGTTTTAAAACAATGACTGTAACTCTCGGTTCCCCCTACCCACTCTTTTGGTTCACTCTGAACCAAAAGGTCCTCTCTTACCACATTCTGTTAGGCATACATTTTCCATGCAGGGGTAGGTGGGTATTTGTGTGTACGTAATCAATCTTTATGATTCTCAAGTACTTTGGAAATGTGTCAGGGAAAAGACCCTGTAAAATACACTTTTTGTTTCATTTATGTTGTATATCATGGCGTTAAGAAAAACTGAACATTCATTTTAAAGCAGGAATACAATACACGTCTAACAACTCTCAGATGGCTAAGCAGATCCAATGTTAGTTTTTAAGATAAATGTTGGAAAAAATGAATTTGTCAATAAGATAAAAATAGGTTTAGTAGCTTAATTACACTGAATCACATTAATGGTATTAACGGATTAAGGGAGCCACTGTGCACATGCTAGAAAGAACACTGAATAGGCCTACATCTTATGCCTGGCCTTCATTAGCTGCCTGACAGGAGGACCCTCCTAACCTCTGTGAACCCAATACACCTTGACTGAAAAAGGGGGTTGTCCTATGTATGTGACACACACAAAGTTCTATACAGCTTTGGAAATTGATGATTCTTTGTATAGAGAAAACTTGTATTTATTTGTAAGTATGTAGAGAAGATAGGTGTGTTCCTTTTTATTTTGATACAAAACTCCTTAAAACTACTTTACACCCTACTATGTCATTATTTACAAACGCCTACTTACGTTATTCACAGTGACTCCATCTCACTGGATTCAAAAGTTAATGAAATCTCATAGACAGCAGCTACATTTATTTAAATAAATTTATTTAAGCACGATTTTTGTTTGAAGTTCACATCACATCACATATGCATGCAGTGGAACTGACAGCCAATGTGAGCAGTTTAGCATTATGTGTATTATGTGTACTGTAAGAGATTATAGGCAATTCTTTGAAAAGATTTAATTGCAATCTTTAAAAAATGTTCCCATTTGTTCATGTGCTCGGAAGAATATCCTAATGTCCAGGTGACCTTTAACTACCATTTGTACTAACTTTGAAGAGGCATTTTCTTCTCAATAATAATACCTAGCACACAATGCAGCATTTTCTAAAAATTATAAGACTGGTTCTTACCTTAGGATACCTTCAAAATGTTGTGTTCACAAACTGGATTTAAAATACTGCTTAGTGATTCTTGCAGGACACAGTACACACCATGGCAGATCAAGGAGCTTTACCTTCACTGGGGAGGACCTGCCATGGTGGCTGTACAGAGGCTCCATCAGCACTTCCTGTGGGCTCCTCTTCACCACTGGATAAAACTAACTTAATCTTCACTACCTTTATCTATTCTTCAATAAAGAGCCCTTCATTCTGGGACTTGAAAATTTTGCATATGTATAAAACATGGGCCCAAGCCTTTATTTACACCTGAGCCCACAAAATGTAAGAGCTGAGAAGAACCCCTTCATTTACAAACGAAAAAATTGAGGTCTTTGCATCTAACCAGAGAGAAATCCACAAGCATTTATTATACTCATCATGTTCATTTTTAAATATTTATATTGCTAGGGCAAAGTTGTGACTTTCTGTTCATTATACACAATTTTATATAAAGAATAAAAGGAGTATTGAGGAAGATTTCTTCCTCCAGGACAATGCTTTATGTAATTAGTCTAAACTCTAAACTAAAAGCAAAAATCCTGGCTACAGACGCAAAGGTATTTTACATACTTGGGATTCCCACTGCCAACTACATTCTTACTTCTGTTTATTCAAAGACAAATGGACATGCTTTAATAAACTTGGGAGTGAAAAGAAATACCTTCTGATCAAGACATAGTGAACAAGCTCTTATAATTGAAAATCAAGTATTCAAATATTGAGATTAACTTGGGCTAGGATGTCAGCTTTTCTCACTGAATTAACCTTGCAAATCAGCTAACATCATAGTTAGAAATAGTTTCTGCAGGGAAATCTCATGATACATTATTTGTAATAGTATCAATAACATGTAAGAGTAAGTTGTACAGGTAAATGCCTTTGTGTAATCCAGCTGAAGTCTCAGTCTCTCATGAGAATTCTCTTTACATGATGCTCACTGTTCTGAGATCCATTTATTGTGTTCCATCCTAGGGTCTTACCCACTGTCTGTATTCATGTTACTTTGTATTTATAGTAGTTGCAACTGGTACCTCTATTATATCTTAGTAGTAACTGACGGCAACACTCTCTGGATATAGAAATTTAACAGAAGTACTGTTTTTCAATTGACAGATCTACTGCATTCTTTGCATATGTCCAATAGCATATTTCAAACAATGGGTTCTCTTTGCATTAAATTACTTTGACAAGTAAACAGCTGTTTAAAACTAAAACATTGTTTTCCCATTTGTAACATCACTGGAATCAGCAAGAATCTGGCATGGTATAACTGATATCATTTTTCTTTTGTAATGCTACATATCATGATGGTGCATCCCACATCAATAACATCTTAGAATCTATAAAACATGATCTTTCTTAGCCACTTTGTAGAGAGAAAAAAAAAGAAACAAAACAAAATGAACCAAAAACCTTCTTCGGTAGCAAAATAGTAATATATTTAAAAGGATATAACTGAACACTTTAAATTGAGTAGTTCTTTAATCTAGCTTAGTCTTAACTATGCAAGTACTATGTATTCAAATATACATACACATATCAAGTATAGTTAAGGACTCTTCTGATTTTCCTTCAAGACTTCTAACACTCACTTTTACAGATCTTTAAAAATCAACGTTGTTATCATTTTCACATTTGTTGTGCCACTTTTTTTTTTTTTTTTTATAAGATGGCATACATGCTTTTTGCTTTTTGATGTCAGCCTCAATTCCTTTTCAGAGGGAAAAATCATTTGGATTTTTTTTTTTCTATTTCTTTTACATTGCCAGTTGCCTGAGAGATGGCACAACCCTGTTTAATAAACTAACTACATTTTGTAGGTTTCTTTGTAACAAGTAAGAAGTTAGATGTTTTCAGTCAAGGGCCTTAGCACAGTCATACTGTGAATTTAACATAAAAGGCAAAAAGGAACACAAAAAAATTTTTAAAGGAAAATGATGAAGAGCAAAGAGAAAACAAACCCACCAGTAGTATTTTATTTCATGGCACAAACAATCTCTTCTGTCATCATGAATTTTAACACACATACAGTTTGAGAAGAGAGAGAAGTACAGAATTCCACCCTTAGCCTCAGTTTCTATTACTCGTAGTCAACCAGGGCCCAAAAATATTAAATGGAAAATTCCAGAAATAAGCAAGTTTTAAATTGTGGGCTGTTTTGAGTAGTGTGATGAAATCTCATGCTGTCCTGCTCCATCCCACCTGGGATGAATCTATACCGTCTACACTTCCTGCCTGTTAGTCACTTAATGGCCATCTCAATGATCAGACCAATGGTCACAGCATCTCAGTGCTTGCGTTCAAGTAACCCTTATTTTATTTAATAGTACTTTACTAATAATAACTTTGTTATTAGTGTTGTTAATCTCTTACTGTGTGTAATTCATGAATTAAACTTTATCATATATATTTATGTATAGGAGAAAACATAGTACTGTAGGTTGTGGTACTATCCATGGTTTCAGGCATCCACTTGGGGTCTTGGAATGTATTCCCCTTGAAAAGGGGGGACAACTACTGTAGGTTTATTTCACTTAATCTCATGATTTCCGGGCAGACTGTTAGCCAATGGAAGAAAGAAAAAAGGATTCTTATGATAGCCCAAATCATCACTAATGAGCAAAAGTAGTTCAAAAACAAAACAAGATTTAAAAGACCTAAAATGTCTTTCTAAAGGGTCTTTGCATTAATATTCAAATTTCTTCTCCTGAAATACCAACCTGAAGATTGGTTAATCTTTGACATTTTATTTAAACTACTGATTACTAGTTGTTTGAGGTTTAATTTTCCCTTAGTCATTTATGAAACAGAAATAATCACCAGAATGTAGAAAGAACCCTAGTGACTAATTTCTTAGAAAACTTCTTGTTATAAAACATTAATATATATTATTGTTCACATGCTTGGAAAGGAAACCAACCTAGAATCAGTAGATTTGTTCAACTCCTCAACAAAACATTTTCTGAAAACCACCTCCTCAAAAGGTGAGCATCATTCTCATCAAGTTAACAGCCCATGGAAAGAATTTTATAAGTGAAACATATAGGAAGACATTAAACACCCTGGAAAAAGTGCCACTTTAGTAAGGGGAAAGAAATGAAGTCCCAGAGAAAAACTGTCATTTACTGCCATGACTTTGTTGCACTGAAAGAGTTCAATTATACCACAAAGAATTTTAGAATGTACTAATTTAAGTATAATGTGAAACCTTCCAACTACCTACTGCTTTGCCTAGTTCAGAAATTAGCAAATTTTCTGTTTAAATAAGAGTACCTTCCCTGTATCCACCAACCACATGCATGATGTATACGAATAACACTATCAACATGTCTTTATTTTCTGCTTCTCATTATTTTATCTTTCTCCTTTGTTCTTTCTTTCAAAATTACTTCACATTCTCATTTCAGACATCTGCATCCTTTAGTGTAACACTTAGAAATCTGGATAAGATGATGGCCATCATGGAACGTAATCACACTCTACATTGATGAATGGCTATTTACAAAATGATTTCTATGATTTAAAAGAGAAAACATCATTGAGCTTTTAAATTTCAAATAAAATGCTACAACTCAAATGGCACTGACTAGCTATGAGCTTCTGGAAGTCACCCACCTGGGGCAGCATGCGATTTTCTTCCTCCAGCTGTCTTACTCTTGCCTCCAGCTGCCTAACATAGGACAAGGTTGATTCTAAAATTAAAAAGAAAGAACTCACATTATACACACAGGTCTTGTTTGGTGCACTGTCAGGATATTTCTGGTTTGATTTATTCAAACCAGATAGTGACTACTTAAGTCTATTATTTAAAATAGGAAAAAAAAATCTCCCAGAAAAATAAAAACAGAAGTCACTGAAACGAAAAACAGTTTTGAACAATTTTACAATGTTAAGAAATATTAGATAAGATACAAACTGGCATGTTTACAGGTGGTAGTACACACAATTGACAGATGATTAGTATTAAGATTCTATACAGAACTCTTACAAACCAATAAGAAAAGACAAGCAAAGGTATGGAAAATATTTCTCAGAAGTGGAAACACATTAGACAAATAAACCTACGAAAAGCAGTCCAACATCATTATTAATTAGTAAAATCACACACACTCAGAACAAGGCAAAACCAGAATTCAAACCTGGATCTAATACCGAAATCCAGTCTCTCCAATGCTCTAAGCCCTTTTAGCTATTTTTAATCACTAAGAATTGAGACATTTCAGAGGAAGACATTTCAGAGGAAGTTTGATCCTCTTAAGATGGAACAAATATTTTTCTGAAGTCAAATCATTTCTCATAAATCTTTCTTAAATGTTTAGTATTTCCTGTTCTGAAATAAAGTGTATTGAGGTCAATTAAATATATATATATTAGAGAAATTTATAGGTGGTGAGATTGCAGGCTTTTTGCATACCAACCAGCCTCGGAATAATAGGCATCTTGAAGACAATTATACTCTTTTCTTCTGATTTTGTACATTTTGAGTCGTCAGTGAGTTGTTCCACATATACAAGACTATTTTGTAATGTTAACTATAACCAAAATAAACTACAAAGCTCCATTAAAAAAAAAAAAAAAAAAAACAAAAAATAAAATATTTCAAAAATCCAGTTCTCTTTATTTCCCCCAATAAAAATTTCAAGCCTTAAGAAAAATATTTGTTCTTTTCACAAACCTACAGATATTGACAGAAAAAACATGAAAGAGCTATTTAGAGTTAGAATGAATTTTGACTGATTTTGGCTGTGACAGAGACCCAAGTTTTTCACACATCTTTAGGGAAACCAGGAGCAGACCTGAAATTGATTATTGTTTTCACTCCTTCACGAGCTCAGGCATGCGCTGAAAGCTCAGAATCATTATCATGCTTAGTTTCTGTTCCGTACTGAAACTCTAAAGTTTACGGCTTTATGTCAGGAAAAGGGGTCACAGGTTAAGAAAAGTGAATTTTTATTTCTGGGAACAATCTGATAGTAGCTCTTCTTCATTAAAGTGAACATATTCAAGGTCTTCACATAGTAGCAATTCATTCATCACACAAAAACAAACATATTTCAGGTGCAGTGAAAGGTACATAGCAATAGACTTTCTTCAGAGCACACTTGTGTTACATTAGGTAGCTAGTCAAATGTGAGCAAAGCAGGAGAGGGCTCCCCACAAGCCCACCTACCAAGAATGTCAGGCAACCATCACGGGATGGTCAGGTGGTTGTTAACTGTCTCTCTAAAATACTAATTAGCTGCAGCCAATACCAGGGAAAGGCAGTCTCCCAACAGATAGAAAAAACCTGGCACTGGTGATCAGCGGTTTCCCAGTAAGATCTCTGGGGTTGGGCAAGTGGTCTCAAGCATGTGTACTAAGAGGAAAAATAGCAGTTAAACTGGTATATGACCTTCATAGCAGTTAAACTGGTATATGACCTTCCTGGGAATGAGATGGCTAAGGGAAGAATGTGGCTCATGAGGCACAGCATCTTCAGTAAACACACTGTACATGCTCCCCTCCCAAGTGCTAGCAGGCCACTGCACATGGACAGTCCACCTCAAGGGAAGAATCAGGCAGGCGACATGAAACCCCAAGCACACCAATGTAAAACCCAAGTCAAAAGGTCAAACAGTGCACTAGACTTCTCAAGTCACCTACCTGACCTTCTTCCAGGTATACTTTACTTTTCTCATTGCTGCTCTAAAGTGCAGCAAACCACCATGGCACACTTTTACCTGTGTAACAAACCTGCATATCCTGCACATATATCCCAAAACTTAAAACAAAAAATTTTAAAAAGTATTCTTGGACTAGCAGCAGTATATGGTGAGCTTTTTAGTACTCATGAAGTCATCTAAATTTTCTATGTTTAACTCGGTTCAATGTGCAATGAGGGCACATTTTATATACATAAACCTAGAGGTTGCAAAGAAGTAAAATGTGGTCTCAACTTAAAAAGACTCCTGAATCAAATAAAGAAGGTGAGACATGGAACTAAACTTCTGTCCTTTAAAATGAAATAAAATGGCCATAACAAGGTAGCCATAAGCAAAGTGCTATGGGAGCAGCCCAGGGGAAGACACTGAGTAATTTCAACTGAGTAGGCAAATGGGGATGTCAGAAAAGCTGGGATATTAGAATTGGGCTTCGTGAAAACTGAAGTTTAAAAGGCAGAATTTGGGGTAGGGAATCCAGGCAACTGAAGTGAAATGAATTGAACTGAACTGAAGCAGAAAAGTGTAGAACGTTGGGGGTTAGAATAGAGTGGCATTGGGGGAAAGGAGGGTACAGCAAGTGAGAATTTGGAACTACGTCAGCTTGTGGACTGTCCAGAATGCCACACAAGGACTTGTGAACTCTAGACAACAAAACAACCAGGTCTTCTATACAGATGAGTAAACGGATTAGATCTGTGACATCGGGCCAATACTCCAACACTATTTCTATTCCCAAATACTATCAATGACTGATTTCTGAAGAAAAGTTTATTTATACACAGGCTTGTACCTTGTAAGGACAATGAGCCCTATTAGCTGCTTCTCACACGTCTGGGTGAAACAGGACAAGCCAGTTCTTTGACAGAGAGCAGTCATGAATTCCAGAACCGTCTCATTCCGGAGGACCTTGTAACTCACATCAGCGCTAAACAGAAGCTTGCTTTCAAAATATGATACAGAAATGGCAAACCCAGGCCAAAGGGATAATCTTTAAAAACAAAACAGAAAAAAAGGAGTATTGTCAATGTTATACCGGAAACACAATAAAGATTTTTAAATGGTGATTTTCTGTTCTAATTCTCGAGATTTTAACAAGATAACTATTTTCTTTAGTTTGATTTCTTCCAGTTGTTGACTGAAATCTTTCTTTCAGCTGCAGTGTCTTTAAGGATACATTTAGAATAAAATACCTTACTGTAAAGCAGTTTCTCAGCCTTGGCACCACTGACATTTGGAACTGGATAATTCTTTGTTAGGGACCGTCCTGTGTACTATAGGATGTTTAGCAGCAGCTCCCTGGCCTCTATCCAGTAGATGCCAGTAGCAGCCTCCCAGCTGTGACAACCAAAACACGTCTCCAGACAATACAAAATGTTCCCTGAAGTGGGAGGAAATGGCCCCCTGCCTGAGAACCATAACTGTAGGAATAAGATGTTTATGGAGTGATCTGTCCCTGCAGGAAAACATCTAGGTTCAGAAAAGCACCCCAATTCAAAGGTGAGGGTAGTGGATAGATTTAATAATGAGATTAAGAAATACAGAAGTGATATCACAGATATACAAGAGAAACCAGAACACAGCCTACAGTTTCTTTCCATATAAACTTAAAAATCTTGACTAAGAAGTTACAGAAATGACATGAAATAATAGACTAATATTTTAAAAAATAATTCCAGTTTATATTTTGTGGACTATAAGTAGTCACTGTGATACTAAGCCAGCCTCCAGGACAGGCATATGTGCTGAGCACCTAGGGCAGTTTAGTACAATCTGCACCTATGAGATTTTCTAATCCAGGTGGACAGATTAGTGACAGGGACGAACTGGATGCTTCATAGAGAGCACACTGACACTCTGAATGAACATATGGAAACTCCGTCATTTTTCCTCCACCAGGCAGAAGGCCAAACACCCCACTCCCATTTTCTATCTTTTATGCACTTCTCCCTTTATGTTACGTTTGGGCTACCAGTTGCCTCTCTGTCTACAGTTTGACCACAGTATTTTTGAGAGCTAAGTAACAACCAGTTGAAGACACAGCTGACCACTTTCCCTGAAGCCTCGAATTCCCAGTTTAGGGTAGAAATTCTGCAAGTGTTCCTAAGGATTCTATCCTTCACCAGAGTTGTTTGGTTGGCTTCTCTTTCTGGCCCGCGCTGCCCTGACGATTTCATGTCAACCACCTGGCTGTGCTAACATCCTTTCAACAACAAAATGAAGCACCAACTATGTGTTATAGCACAATACAGCTCATCCTGCTTTCATTATTACTTATTACACACAGAAAATTCAGTTTCTGAATTCCTTCTAGGATTTATGGTAATTATCCATCACACTAATATGAGAAAACAAAGCTGCTAGCTTCACGTGCACATGCACCATTTTATTCAAAACAAACTTGAAAATTTAAAAAAATCATTACATTTCATATCACAGAGTCTCTCACAGGAGGCATAATGGTATAATATTGTATCATAAATTATGTTGCTCGCATTATAACAATTTTGGAGTAACAGAAAATATAAATAAACCTACTTGTGCTGGGGAATTTCCACTGACTCTGAAGGATTATAGAAGTTCCGTCCAATTTGGTACATGGACAACTTTTTGAGGATCCTGCAAGTATATTGTTTTGAATTTTTGGTAAATATCAGTCAGTAACAGCGTAATTCTAAGTTCATACCCTTGCTGAACATGTTAAAAATATATAGGAAATACAGACCTCCCATTCTCACAGCACTGTAAGGTTTAGACACTAAATATACATATGAATGTTTATAAAGAACTGTCACTTCTTCATATTTGAGAATACTACAACTAAAATTATTTTTATCTGTCTGGGTTTAGCTGCAATGACAAATATGTGGCCAATTAGCCATTTCGGCTGCAGTAGTAACATTTTGGTTAGCTTAGATGGGGTGAGATGAGCCATGCCTTCAGGCCTTTTTGACCTCTTCTCTATTTGAGGATGAGGACCTTATTTCTTTTTT